GTGCGGGAAGTGCGAAAAGAAGATGCGACCACGAAGTCAGCACGCTGTTCAGTTCCTTTTGTCAGGAGAAACTTAATCGAATCAGTTGGCTGTTTTGCATTAATAGCTGCCATTGAAGCAGCCTTTCGCAAAGCTCATGGGCAAAAGCCTTCCAAACACAGGAATCTGTTCCATATTTTCCATCGTGGGATATTTTTTGCTGTATCGCGCTCATGTCTTTCCTGCCTTCTAAATTCTACACCAACTCTTGCTTGTTTCTTCCCTCTAAGTCTTTCGCAGCCGTCCTCACCAGTTCATAATGATGTTGAATTCATACAATTGGTGACCATCCGAGTACATGTTGCAGATGTATTTGTTTGCTCCATACATTCATTTGCTCATGCGCATTGCATAATGACGCAAAGACAAGACACCCCTAGGTTTGTGTGGGCTTGTAGAAAAGAGGCCATCCCTGCTCTTTCTCAACATGCCAAAAAGACTGAGCGGAAGGAGGATGGTGAGGATGGAATGCGGAAGGTACCCAGGATACTCCAATTGTCTTGTGATGTTCAGCAAACGCGGATATACATATTATGGGTTTGTATTCTTTTTTGCGTGTACTTCCTGATGTAGTGGTTGGAAGTTCGACTTGAGCGATTCATACCCTCGAATCATCTCGAATCATACCCCTCAAAACGTTACACGTAAGAACCAGGTGTTAAGGTGAAGTTTTTGGTTGGTCTTTGTGCCTTGTAGATGTCCATGAGCCAATGGTGCATGACGTTTGCAATTGTGTGATCCATGGGCACCCAATTTGGCCAAAATTGTTTGTGTCTTCCTGTGGGAAGAGCAAAGGCTCACGTCCCAGGGGTACTCATAATGTTCCCATGTGCTCTCCCTTGGGAAGAAGAGCCAAAGGACCGCCTTCTTTTGCAGAATCTAATGGCCATACGAATCACACCCGATTCATTCATACCCGAATCACGCACCTCCACACAGTCTCCCACCCATCCCACATCCTGGTTGTTTTGGTGGGGCTTGCAGAGGGCCACTGGAGTCTTTGGTGGAAGAGTGCATTTGCTTAGTCTGCCCAGTATCCAACAGATGCTGCTTGCCTACTGCCTCGGCGCAGGGCGGGCCGACTGCTGGAAGTCCAGCTAATCCAAGAATAATTCAATACAACTTCAAAGCTGCGAATCATCTGCAAATCATACCCTCGAATCATACCCCCGAATCATACCCCGAATCATACCCTCGAATATATACCACCTATTCAAACTTCCCGGGCCGACTACGGTAAAAAAATACACACCCATATATATATATATATATATTATTGAATTAGTAGAGGGAAGAAGGCTCTCGAGCCGGTGGCATTTGTCAAAATGATCCACATGGATGGGGGCCAAGCAACCGCGAGCTGTGGTAGAAAGGCGCGAAGTAGAAAGATTAGCGTTCTCCTCGCCGCGTGTTCTTGCCAGTCTTTCCGCGATTTTGGAACTCACCAGAGCATTCCCAAGAATCCCTCTCTTTCTTTGTCTTGTGGCAAAATTTGATGTCGTGACAGGTCGTGGGCTGATGTTGCGTGATGTGGTGAACTGGTGGTTTGTACTGTGGTCAAATGAGATGTGAAGATGTATGCTGCAGTGTATATACAGGTCCTTTAAAAAGTGTGGGTTGTGTTTGGTGTGGTCCAGTGCATGCTTCGTGGACATTCGGAGCTTTCAGGTGTGCATGCGCGCGGTGGCTTCAGCATGTGGCACGGTGACTGTGGACTTCCGGTCATCGCCGTACTCAAGGTCGAACAGCGGAGCGCTCGTTGAGATCGTGGTTGCAAAGTTAGTGCGGCATTTTCTTGCCAGCAAAAATGAGCATAATGCATTGATCGTATACACATCGTATGTATATGATCAATGTATATGATGGGAGTCAATATAATTAGCAGCGCATGTTTTATTAGATAGTGGTAGTAGGTCTAAACAGGGATGAACTGTGCTCGCCAAGTTCGCAAGGTTTGGACAAGGTTTCGCGCAAGTGTCGGTACACGAAACACATTCGAACAAAAACTGCTGCAGCTTAAGAAACTGCATGTGCGCCAAAAGTGTTGTAGCTTATATACTACTGAATTTGTGCAAGAACTTCACAAGGTTTGCCCAAGGTCAGCGCAAGAGTGGTTTTCAGGAAAGGTATTTTGGACTGGTCTCAAATAAACTACAATTGGGAAGTCAGGTAAAATATTGTCACTGTTGGGGAATTTTGAATGTTCAGCAGGGTTACCAGTTACCACATGTTGAGCTGCTCACAGATGTGGCCAGAAGCTGCTCACCTTTGCAAGCAACCACCGCAGCCATCTTACCTCTTGCTGGCATTCACACCATTTTCAACGACTACCTTACTCTTGCAATGCTTGTGAAGTCTGCGCGCGGGGTGCCCACTTTGTCAGGCCGCCCATGCGTGCCCGATGGAAAGGCAAGTCTTTGCCTGAAACCTTCACTTCAGCATCCGGAGGCAGGAGGGGCAATACTTGTCGTTCTGTTGTGAACCGTTCATGCAAAACAATGTGCTTTTGTTTTGGTCATAGACAATGAGCTGGCATGACTGATTTTGACATCCAAGGTGGGAAACCTCTTCCTCTCCATTTTGATGTCCTTCGGGGCTTTCCTTTTTGTTGGTGCCGCGTGCCTCCTGATTTGCACTGTTGTTGGGCGTATGCTTCGTTGTTTCCAACGAGACAAGCAGGAACCCCAGGAATGCAATGAGCAGCCAGAGCAGCCTGTGCAGCCTGGTCTAGCATCCAACTCCCCATATCCTAGAGTGAGCGTGGCGCAGCAGTTCTTGCAGCATGCTGTCACTCAGATGTCACATCTGAAGCTTTTCGGTGGGTCTACTGCAATATTTAGGATTCCAGTGGGGTGAAACGTACCTCAAACATCCTCAAACCAAGGTTGAGGGATTGTCTAATTAGTCTGAGGGAGATTTAACCGGTGTGTGCGTGTGTGTATGCGTGGCTGTAGAGTTTTCCATTAGCTCCAGTAACGATACGTATATACTGAGATATTGTCAAAGGGGGCTCTTAGAATGCTATCCAGCTTCAAGGTTTAAACGATAGTTCCTCCAGTTTTGTCCTCCACAAAGCGTGGGGGGGGGGGGACCCCCCCCCCCCCCCCGAAACGACCAAAGAGACTGCGCGACTGCGCCGGCCAGACTATTTCAAGACGTTGCTTGGTTTGTTGCTTCGTCACTTGTTTTGGTTCCTGTTCTTGTTGGTTGTTTGTTGTGGCTTTGGCTGAATGCGCTTGCATGGGTTGGTGGGTTGGTTGGTTGGTGGAGAAGGTGTTTTGCCGCAGGGGGTTCACCTTAAAATGTGATTTCGTGGCAGGCGCGGGTGTTGGAGATGAAGTGCAGATTTCGTGGTGCGGGGGGGGTTGGGGCCCCAGCAGCAGACCACAGCCACGTAAAACAAGTGCATGTTGAATGCAAAGAAAACAAAGAGACTGCGCCGGCCGGACTATTTCATCACGTTGCTTGGTTTGTTGCTTCGTCGGTTGTTTTGGTTCATGTTCTTGTTGGTTGTTTGTTGTGGCTTTTGCTGAATGCGCTTGTGGTTATTGTCGTTGCTGTTGGTCTTTGCTGATTGGTGCCTGTTGGTTGGTTTGTGGGTTGCTTGGCCGAGCGACCGAGTATGGTGGGTTGTTTTGCCGCAGGGGTTCACCTTAAAATGTGATTTCGTGGCAGGCGCGGGTGTGGGAGATGAAGTGCAGATTTCGTGGGTTAGCAGACCACAGCCACGTAAAACAAGCGCACGTTGAATGCAAAGCAAACAAAGAGACTGCGCCGGCCAGGGGACCTGCGGGGGGGGGGGGGGGGACCCGGGGGCCGGGGGGGGAAACACAGACGGGGGGGGGGGGGTCGACCTCCCCCCCCTGGGATTGATTGGGACGGCTAATGGGGAACTCTCGTTTAAACTCAATCCTCAATCGTCTCCTGGACATGACAAGCGTTGACCAAGAACAAGGGGGTTGCATATGTTAGGTGGATGTGTTTGTTTGTATTGTATCGGAGCTTTGTTGTCGTGGCTTCTCGTGTTGGGTCGGCTTTGGTGGCATCTCCTGGCGTTTGTTGGTTTTTTGAGTGCTTCTCTTCGCATCTTTTGGAATCTGGTGCAAGCAAGCATGCCCATTGTACGATTTTGTACGAGTGTGAGTTGGTGGTTGTTTGCACAGGGCAGCAAAAAGGACATTTGAACAGCAAAACCAAGCGCGGCTTGAATGTTTTGGTTCCGCTTCTGGTGGCTTTTGCTGGCCTTTCATGGTTTCTCATGGCTTTTTGTTGGCTTCTAAAGGCGTTCTGTGTGTTATTGGAGGCGCTGCGCGCTCGCTCCCAACCCCTCCTGTGCTACGAAATCTGCAAATGATGTCCGATTCCTTTCCCACGAACGCTGACCTTTTCCTGGGAGGAACGAAATGGGCCTCGAAGAGAATTCGACGGAATTCAGTAGACTTCCATCTGAGTGTGGTGCACGACACCAGTGTCGTGTGTCACACCAGGTCCAGGAACTGATCTGTATCCAGCGTCCTTCCAGTTCCATAGGGGTGCCTATTGGAAGTCGAAAATGCCCCGATCCACGGCCCCTGGATGCGACATGGTCATCCCGACGCTCGGACGTTGGAAGAGCGTCTTGACCTTAGGATCCTCAGATCCTCGGAGTTCACATCCGCTTGTAAGGGGTTTTTCATGGTTTTTCTGTAAAATCTCCGAGGTCCAGGAGCCCAATCGGGCTGCCTTGATGTGCGCTGGCGGAGAAACGATCACCTGTGAGCAGTTGCTTGCTTGTGCAATTCAATGTGGGCAACTGGGGTGGTTTCAGAGATCATTTTATGATATTTTATGTTCTAATTACTTGGGATGGATTGAACCCACTGACTTTTTTTCACTGAGTTGAAACCATGAACAGTAGGCAACTTCTTTCACGCCATTTGCCGACCCGTGACGTGACGCCGGTCTCGCTGGTTGCGCTGTACATGCACAGTGGACCTCGGCTGGTGGCCGCAGTGCTTGGAGTGTGGTTTGCAAAAGCCGCTTGGACACCCCTGGACCGTAAGAGTCCACATAAAAGGTTGGAGGAGTTGGTGAGGCAGATACAACCTTCCGTGGTGCTTTGCGATGATGCTTCACCCTTCCAGCACTTGGATGTGCCGCTGGTTGACGCAGTGACCATGTCCTTCAATGGGTCGATGGACCGGAATGAAAGCAACTTGGACCACTTGGAGGAGCCGTTGGACCAGGTGGCGCAAGTCATCTACACCTCGGGATCCACCGGAGTGCCCAAAGGCGTGATCTACACCCACGGCCGCTTGGCGCACTCCACGCACTTCTTTGCGGAAGAGTGTGGCGTAGCAGGGAGCCGCATTTTGCAGAAGACACCCAACATTTGGGCCGTCTTCCGCCACGAAGTCTACCCAGCCCTCTGCAGAGGTGGCCTCATTGTCCATCCGAAGCCAGAAGATGCCAGTGACCCAAGACACCTAGCTGAGGTCATCAGCGACGCTTCAGTGTCATTGCTGGCTCAAGCCTCAGTTTTCACGACACGAAATCAGATCAGCAATTGAAAGTATATATACATAATGTATATACACATTTTGGGAATTTACATGAATTTTTAGGACCATTGGACCGTTGCCACGTTACGGAAAGGAATTGATCTGAAGCCAGCCCTACGCCCCCAATGACCAATGATGCACGAAAACGCTTGGATTGTTGGTCGCGATGAAAAATGTCATCTTCGTATGCAACTGTCAGCCCTGGCGTGGAGAGGTGCAACCTTAACACCTCAAAGGTCAACACATCGCTGAAGCCTGATGGTCAAAGGAGGTTTAATGGAAAAGTCGGAACTGCAATCGCTTGTTCAGCACTTCCGTCCTTGAACCCAATGATTGGACCTATTCGACACGACTAACTACTCGGGAACAACGCCACCAGGCGCCTGGTCTTGTTGGCAAATCAATCATGACGCCCCCAGTCACCCTGCGGTGCACGCGTGCGCACCCTATTCTCGGCACTTGCCAAAACTACTTCGTGTTCCACATGTTGGAGAGCGCTTTAACGTTCTCTTGAGGTGATCCACGCATTTTCTCGCGTCGCAACACCCACCAGCAGCAACATCCCACACAAGTGCACGTTAACGTTAACATAACCCATAGCATCAACATCCCACGCAAGTGCACATGAACTTCAACATGCCCCACCCCACCCCACCCCAGTTAACATGAACGTTAACATAACCCATAGCATCGTATACATGTACAAGAAATAAACAGCAAACATGTCAGCGCCTCCACGGTTGTGAAAATCCGTGTCACCAAAAACAAAGAAAACACCAGACGCCCCGCAGCGACGATGGCAACTACTCGACTAAGCTCGCGTCTTGCAACTGTGTGTGCAGTGGTACATTGAAGGAATGTTTAGGTTTGTTTGTGAAAGAGAATCATTTGAAACGGTTCTATTTTTTTGGATTGGACCACAAACTCCATCACTGACACATCAATGATGGACTAGGTGTCAGGTCACACAATAGCATAATGGTGTGTGCACACACGTTGAATTAAAGGTGGTAAACTGGTAAACTAAAGGAAATCAGACATCAACATGAACCCCCCATTGCCAGCTGCTACTTCGACAAGGAAGAAACAAACAAGCTTCGATATGTGATTGAGTTATGCTTCATGATCATGTCCGGGGGAGTGCTGAGGACGCAGCAGCCTTAAAGCACATGCACGCTGGTGGACAAAGGCTGTACATAAATCGACAACGGACAGAACTGGTCAACCTCCACCGAAGACAACCGACTGTTGATCATGAAATCCGGAAATTGTGATGCTATGGATCCAACCGCGTTTCAACCTTCCATGGTAGCTGAAAGCTTTTCCTGTGTGCAGCACATACTGCTAAAAGTTTATCCTGGGCCGCGCAGAATCAAACTGCACATCCTCAATAGGTGTGTGACTAAGCAACACCCATTACGCAAGATTCACACGGGCCAAGCCCGTGCGCAAGTCTGTGGATGCATTGGAGCGTGTCAAGCACGCGTTCAAACGCGAAAAGCTGCAAGATTCGCTGATAAAAGATATATTGTTTCTACTAGCTTATTGTTACTACTAGTAAGTTAAATGTTTTCAAAACCTCCGGTGATGAGGACGCCAAAAAAAACAAGCGAAATATTCTTTTGAGGTTGGAAATTGTTTCAACAATTGTTTTGACAATTGTTTTAATTTTTAAAATATATTAAAACAATTGTTGAGAAATTGTTTTCATGATTTTCTTTTGTGGAAACAATTTCTTGATAATTGTTTGCATTTGTGTGTTTTGTTGCTGCTGTGCTACCGCTTCTAGACTCTGGTCCAAGAAGGGTCTGAGAACCATGTCAGCATGTGCTTTCTTCCATGGCAGAAGAGGTCAGGTATGTTCCCACACTGGACATTCAGGATTTCAATCCAATGTGTTTTCATGACCGCCGCTATGCTTTTGCAATGTGCAAGTGCATTTGCTTGGAGACGCCATGGTTTGCAGCTCTATGTGTGTTTGCGCTGATTGGCTGGTGCACTGTGTGCTACTTCTTTTGTGAGCGTTTCAGCCCCCTGCGCTCCCGCATAGAGGCATCATATAGTGATGCCTCTGAGGGGCTCATGTCTGCTGATGATGCAGGCAACTGAACACTCAATTCATGTTGGCGTTGGCCTCAGGCCAGGTTTTATTCGGCCTCAGGCCAGGTTCAAGGGCCGCAGGCTGGGCAATGGGCCTGCAACAGTGTTGTGCATGAGGCTCGTGCACCAGGCAGGGGTGCCAAAAGCAGAGGTTGCACTGACTGGTGTTGGGACGCTTTTGGGCCATGTCCCCCTCATGCTCATGTAGCGTCAGGTCCCTAGAACTTCGGTCCCACCAGCATGGCCAAACCCAAGCACCTCAGCCTGGGTCTCCATAAGTGTAAGTCAGATGTTTTGGACGCTAGATTAGACAGTTGTTCCCCCTTCACTGTGTGCGAAACATCATTCTTGCTCAAGTCACAAGTTGCATTTTTCCCTGCTTGCTAGCAGGCTTGTAGGAACTCTGGGATGCTTAGGGTTGGGCATTCTTAGCCACGGGCCATGGATTTGGCTTGCTTGGCTGCTGTGGCTGAGCGGCATGCAGGTCAAAGACCAAGTCGAGGTAGGCCTGTTGCTTCGCTTCAGCAGCGGATAGCCAAAGCTGCTGAACGTGCGAGAAAGCTGCAGCACCGGACCCGCAAGAAGCAGTTGGCAGACCGGCGGCTCAAAAGACAGATGCAGAGCAACAACAGCAAAGGCCGGAACAGAACCAGCGACCACATGCTGCCGCTCTCTGGACAGGGCCTCAGGCCGGGTGCAAGGCCTGGCTCAGGCAAATGGAAATCTTGGACTAGCGAGGCAGTTCTCAGGGCGGCTTTTGCAAATGAGATATTGTCATTGAGGCAGGTCGCAGAGCAGATAGATGGGGCCAGCGCTAGCCATTGTTCTATGGCCCGCTGTTTTGTAGCCCAGGCTTTGCACCAAGTCCAATCACAAGGGCTGGCCCGGGCAGCCGCAGAAGCAAAGGCGAAATGGGGTGATGGCGGTCAGCTTACCTTTTGCCTTTTGAACCTCATGTTCGACGAAACAGAGCTCGAAGTAGCCTTGGAGGATTTTGGTCCTGGTGATTGGTCCATCCTAGCATCTCATGCACAAGTGAGCTATGGTGGCCCAGATGGTGTGCAGGATCTTGATGTCATCAGAAATCCTCAAGCGTTGCTGGATAAAACAGCAGAAACGATGTTTGCTTCATTGAGCCAAGGGCCTGGTGGCCTCAGGCCTGGTCCAGATGCTGCCAGTGCCAAATTTCGCTGCACGATGGTGACTTGCGACGCTTTTTCAGCTAACTTGAGACTTCTGAGGCATTTGAATTACACTTTAGAGGAGAACCACATGCTCCTCCCGACGTTGTGCGCACAGCACCGGAATGGTAATGTTGTGGAGCGAGCAACAAAGCTGCTGGGCATTTTGCCAGGTTCCTTTGCTGTCGCCAAAACTCTGCAGAAAGGTAAGGTTATGCAAAAAGTGTCCGAGAAGGTCAAGGCCATGCTGGCAAGAAGGCTTGTGGTTCTTGATGCCGTGCCAGCTGACTTACTCCAGGAGTGGAGCGATGTGAAGGTTGCCCAGCGCAGTTTCTTGGAGCTGGTCATGGCCACCAGCATGGAGCAGGCCTCTGTGCCAGGTCGCCGCCAACAAGCTGCCAATGACTTCCTGGACTTCTTTGCTGGCCACTGGACAGGACCAGGGTTTGGGCAAGAGGGGGCGTCGTTTGAAGCACGGGGCTTTACCTGGGTTGGTTGACAGTCGCTTGAAAACTGTTCATGTTCTATATAATTTCCTATTTCTACCTTTCAAGACTTTTTACAGTTGGTTAAAGTTAGGGTAGGCAGGTGGACTGGCCAATTTGTATCAAATAGTCTCATAGCTTTCTTGTCCTTTGATCCAAGAGTTTGGTTCAAGTTAGTTCAGAGAGTGCGCAGTTTCCAGACCCAGACCTTCTTGTCCCATGCCGGGCATTGACATGGACTCTCTGGACGGTCTTTTCAAGAAGGCGCGGCGTGAAGGGCTGTCCAAGCTGTTTCTGCGTGACGACCAGAGGCGGACAGCTGCCCGCGGCCTCTGGCCTGGTTCAAAAATGGACAAGTTTGGCTTCAAAGTCGCCATGGACAAGATGTTCCGGATGCTGGTGTGTGACACTTATGGCGGCGTGGAGGTGACCAGAGTCGCTCGCCAAGCCTACAACCAAAGGCCCGCAGCTTTATTTTTTCATCCATGTTCATTGGTTCAATTTTCTTATTGAACTTGTTATGGTTGTAGTGTTGTGCATTTTGTGACAAAAGCGTTTGTTTTTTTAGCAAGCCTTTTCCAGCAGCCTCTCTTCAACGGTTTTGAGATTTTGCCTGGCAGGCACCCTTTGCATGTCATTCTGGACGCAGAGTTCTTGGGAGAAGGGAGTGGCTATGGAAAGCTGTTCCTGGGTGGAGAGAATGCCTCCACAGATCCAGCAAGGTTTGCAATGGAAGCTACGACGTGCAGCGTGTGGTTGAGGTCTTGGACCAGGTCTGGGATGCCTTGAGGGCAGGCAAGAATGTTTTGATTTCTTGCCGCGACGGAGCACACCGCAGCGCCACACTACTTGTGTTGGTGTTGATGAGAGGTTTGGGCTGGGAAGCAGAAGTTGCTGGCCAGTATGTGGCGACTCTGCGCAACATAGTCGACCTTGAGTCAACGCCTCCAAGATCGCAGTTTAGGATGTCGCCAGTGAAGCCCATCACCTTCCTGGCCACCGTCCAGGTGGCTGCAACACCTTTGTTTCTGGTTGGAGGCAATGAGCTTGTCAGCCCCCTCAACTTCAGGCGCAGGGCCCTCGAGGCAGGTTTTGAAACTGTGAAGCCTGACCTCTCTGTGCCAGCAGGCCTAGAGCCCAGTCCGCCTGTGCAGGGCGAGGCTGCTTCTGAAGCTGAGTCCTTCACGATGGTCTTTGA